GCCGTATAGCGGTCGATGTGCTGTATCAGTAGTTTCTTTTAATTAAAAACAGCCAGTTTCATATCTGAGTAAAAAAATTTTGCTCCGGAGCCCAAATAAATTAATAAAACGTCTGGAAAGGACAAAAAATATCAAAAGATTGAGATCGGCAAAGCGACAAGTATATGTCATTTGTGACAAAAAATCTGACTAATGATCGTAAAGACAAAAATTATGGCGAATCTTGTGAAAACCTGATATAAGTGAAGCTGATTTTGATTTTGCCAAAATGGAACATATGAAAAATATAACTTTATCTGATGAAGATCGCCACTTGCTAGAAAGAAGAACAATTTTACTGGCTGATTCAATTGAATGGCGTCAAGAGCGGAAGTTGCGGCTGACGGCATCCATTTTCGGAAAGGTGTGCAAACGAGGGATGATAAAATGTGGATCTTTGGTAAAAACCTTTCTGATGGAAAAATTACACCAATTAAACATGGTAAAAATTATGAACATATTGCGAACAACTGGAAAAACTTCTTAAAACTTCCATAAAAATATGCGGATTATTTGTTGAGCCAGATTTGCCATTTTTTTAGGAGCTAGTCCAGATGGGATTGTAGACGACAACAAAATCGTTGAAATAAAATGTCCCTACTCAGCTAAAGGAATGAGCGTTGACGATGGAATAAGAGGAAAAAAAAATTTTGGAAACGGGATAAGGATGGTAATATTTTTATAAATAAAATACATGACTGGTACTTTCAGGCACAAGGCCAACTGCACGTCACACGACGAAAAATTTGCATATTTGCTGTTTGGACTGAAGTAGACATGAAAATTGAATTCATAGAGGAAGATATAGAGTTTTGGCTTAAAATGGAGAATAAATTGAAAATGTTTTAATTGTTTACTACCAGAAATAATTGATTCCCGGTTAGACAGACAAATGGAAATACGAGAACCGAAATATATTCTTGATGCAATAAGCATAAAAGAAAAGAAACTGAAAATGACAGTAAATAACACATATCATAACAATAACACACCAAAACGCAAAAAGATAGTCAAGTAGTAAGTTATTTTCGATGTAAGTGCGGAAGGTGAGTATTAACTTAAGAGCATTTTACAATGCTTAGCGTGAGGAAATAAAAGATAATGCATTTAGTCATTACTACATATTAAGAATAAAAATGTTTTTTCAGTGTTCTTATTCCTTTTGCCACAGATTATATTATTAAAATGAAACAAAACTGTTCTGTTGCAACTATTTAAATGTTTTTTTAAATGTTTTTTTAAATGTTTCATAAACTTGAATTGTATAAATAGAAAGCAAACGAACATTTGTTAGCATTGTTAACTTGTATTAGTTTTAAATTGCATTAAGATGTGTTTTATATGAAAATAAAAACAACCTAAATTCAAAGATACTTTTATTTTATATTAAATATCATAAGAAATAAACTAAATGAATTAAAAAAATTAGACTACAAAAACTAAAGAACTTAAATTTTTCAAATATTTAGTTACGTACTTTTGACATGCCATCCGCAAGTCTCGCTCGATGGAAATTGTGGCTGTGTGCGTAACGACACTAACAGCCAGCAAGTCTAATTGAAATACCTAACTATCGCCCGCTCCGTTTGGCCGACGCGCTCTTAAGTTACAGCCTACATATGTCCGACTGCTGGGCATAGACCTCCCCTCATTTTTGAAACGGTTTTAGGGCAAGGAAGTTGTCCGCCGCGCTGCTCCAAGGCGTGTTGACAAACTTCATATGCCTTCAAATATTTTTTTATATAAGTAATAATATATTAATTTAATTTAAATACCTACTTCAATAAAATATTGAAACTAATTTCAGTAAAACATTTCTTTCATCATCAGATATCTCCAAAATGACTTAAATTAAATCGCACCGAAAGATATGTAATTGAATAATTAGAAGTATTTCAGTTTTCACCTTTAAACAAGAAGTATGTATGTATTTAAATAAGTATGCTAAGGTCTACTAAATAATCTTAGGCCAGGTTCTATCATATATTTATAAACGACTATATAGCCTTTCTCCACCCCGATTATCCACCCCGTCCCGTCTGAGGTGGATGGATAAACGAACACGCGATTCCGAGTATCCACCCTAGGGTGGGTACACTGACCTCTATATATACAAGTACGCTAGACTGGCTATACACCGTGACATGATGAAGCGATTTCATTTCCGCCATTTTGGCGCTGACAGCAAAAGTGCACGTCCACGGAACTAATAATAGGGATAAGACAGTGTACCAAATTATATCGATAAAAATTCTATACCCTACCTATACCTAAATAAATAGAATTGACTCTATGGATAGATGGATTCTACCCGTAACGTCCATTCTATTTATGTATCATATTAATATAATGCAATTATCATTCATCATCATTAAAACCCTTCAGAAGTCCACTGCTGAACATAAGCCTCCCCCCAAGGAATGCTACAAAGCACGGTCCTGAGTTACCTGCATCCATCAACTTCCTGCATGTCTTACCAGGTTTTGACTCCATCTAGTGGGGGAACGTCCTACACTTCACCTGCCGGTACGAGGCTGCTACTCCCCTTTTTTCCTTTTTCCCCATCGGTATTTGGTTCTTCGAGCTATATGGCCGGTCAATTGCCAATTCAGCTTACTAATCCATTGGTCGATGTCGATCACTCTGGTTCTGCTGCAGATATCCTCATTCCTACGTTTGAACCCCTGAGCATAGCCCTCTTCATAGCTCGCTGAGCGACTTCAAGCTTTCTCATACGGCCAGCAGTGAAAGACTTCGTCTCAGATCCATAAGTCATCACTGGCAACACGGACTTGTTGTACAATCTAGTTTTGAGGTATTCCTGACGAGAAGATGTGTTGTAATCTCCCGAACGCTGCCCAGCCGAGTTGAATCCGTCGATTGACCTTTCGGTCGAATTTGAACTTACCTAGTCGGACTATTTGTCGTGTTCGTACTTTATACGATGCCATACCGTTCATCAGATTGCGGTAAAACTTAGTCAACCTATTGGTTGCACTTGTGTGAAGGTTATACGCATGGTACAATTAACTGACACTAGGTGGCGTGCGTATTATACTGACTATTTATTTGAAAGTTATAGAAAGTTATATATCATTCTATTTCAATGATTGTATTATCATTCCTAATTATACAATAATACTCTTCCACATTTTTAACGATATTTTCACAAATTATTTCTTCTGCTGCAGCAATGCGCCGGGTAGATAATATTAAAAATATATATAAACTTTGAATTACATAGTTATCAGTTATTTACAGCGTCATTTTCGAAATTAAAATTACAATATTAAAAAAAAATAACTGAAATTATTATACAGTCCTACTTTCCGTGGTGTAGTGTCGTGTACGTGTCATCTCTGAATGGCTATACTTAGCCTTCAAGCGAGGAAGCAACAAACTAAACAACTTCTTATTACCAGCAGCGATGATCCGTCGCAGATACGGTTTTTAGGAACTACACCGCACGTGCACCCTACGGACCAATAGTCTTTACAGCAAATAGCACAAATATGTACTCATACTATTACATGCTTGCAATTGAGAGAGAATTAAATCTCTAGATCGCACTTACTAAAACCCCATGGTGTTCTACCTCCACCGCAAATTGGCAGGGCTACGGAAACGCTTTCATGCGCATCCGCGGCCCCTCTGGCGCCAGCCGCCCAATGACAGCCCCTCCTTAGTCCGGCCTCTAACTCCACCTGCACTACGAATTCCCCGAGCCCGATATGTGAATGGAGCCAGGGAAAAACGAGCACTTGGAAGCATAAGTAGTGCAGTCTGACCAAAGTCGCGAAAGATAGTCGAGTGGCGCATCGCCAATTGCCATACCAACACTCCTCTTTCCTTACTACTCCACCTCGACTACAGCGGTACAGCAAGAGAAATCTCCTCTAGCCGCAGCTCACTAACACACATCCAACGTGGCTCGACATCATCAGGCGACCTTTCGACACTTGGCTATAGCCCTTGAGTTTGGTGGAAAATTAGGAAAGAAGAAATAAAAAACATTCTAAATAATAATCTAATACTTTTATACTTACTGGTACTGGTACTACCACAATATATTGTCGGTATACTGCACTTTTTCAAAGTGGTGTAGTTTTCATGTCTAATAAAACAGTCGTCTGTAAAATGTTTGGAACAAATATGATCATTTTGTTTCGGACGTCAATTCACAATATTTATGCTTTTAAGCCATAGTTTGAGTCTAGGTTCAGTTGGAAACCTGTTAATTAATAAAAATTTGATAATCATCTGTTGTTGGCGACTTTATTTATTAAAAGATATTGGTAGGAAAGAACATCGATAAGTATTATAGACAAGGAACTCGACAACCCTATTGAATTTTATTGTTTATCAAAACTCAGTAATATACAGCCAAACATGTTGGTATAAATGATATTAAGACTAGTAACAAATTTTTAAGTACTTATATTATCAAATAGTTTTTATTTATTTAATATTTGCTGCAAATTCACTTACTTGTGAAATGTTGCACCACTTCCCTTTTGGTAACGAGTTTTACAGATTACGCACACTCTCATTATTAATAAAAATAATTCTTAGTATGTAACTAATATTATACACAATCAAATAACATAAAATACTTACTTACGTTTTTTAGTTTAAAAGTTCAAAATACAGATTTTTAAATATGACAATATAAATAAGACAACAGGTTGGCATATTATGTCAATTTTATTTTTCAAGACATCCTTTAGCGGCGCTTCAAATTGGCACAGTCATTTTGTATGGTATAGCCAGTCCAGCGTACTTGTATATAGAGGTCAGTGGGTGGGTAGAATGAATAAACCGTCTTAACAGCAGAGTCAGACATGCACAGTACAGCAATCAATTATCTGCTAGATAGATGCTGCTAGGCTTAGCATCCGACATTTACTACAAATTAAAACTTCTACTGTGGAGAATTCTTACTTTAAAGTTTTATTTAACAGGTTGGGCCCAATTATAAAGAAGATAAAGAATTAATTTTATATCCAAATAAGGGAGGTAAAGTTGCGGATATCTTAGAAGAAGCAGCAAAGGTTGTTGAAATGTCACCAGATGGTTCAGGAAGGTTAGTTTTATTGTACTTTTGAAGTTAATAAAAATAATACAAACATACAGTTCACAATTTAGTTATAAAGGCTATTTTTAACACGCTTTTATTAACTTTGCGTATAACTATCTATTTCTATTTCTGTCACTAAACGAGCGTCACTGTTTTTTTTTAAATCGAAAGTTCAATATTGAAGGCATCATGGCTTGTAATTACAGGCTATATAATACATAGCACCTTGTCAGGGGTGAAAACACAGCTGCAGCTTTCTTTATTTTGGTTTTGTAGGTTTCCTTGTCTGCAGTGGCTACTTACCGTTACAACCTATCAAAAGTCCACAGCTGAACATGGGCCTTCGCTATAAGGTTACCTCATAGGGCGGATATTACCATACTGTAGTTGCCATTTTTAACATGCATTTATAAGCTTCGCGAACCTTTTAATATAAACTTGTAGACGACCAATTGACTTGAAAATTTGCAAATTTGACTATACAATAATTTAATAGCCTAGTATCCTGATCAGATCAGGATCACCAGGTTAAAATATAATAATCATCAGGATCATCACAGCTTATGATTAATGCGTGTTCTTTAAGTTTTATTATACTCTTATATTATTAAGAATATCCTCAGTTGCTTTTAAAAGTAAAAAGTAAAGTTACGGCTATATTATGTCCTTTCTCATGGGGCAAATGAGCATATGGCTCACCTGATGGTAGGTGATTACCGTCGCCCATGAACAGCTGCAACACCAGGGGGATTGCAGATGCGTTGCCGGCCTTTTAAAAAGGAATAGGCTCTTTTCTTGAAGGTCCCTAAGTCGTATCGTCCTTAGATTGTTTAAAGTCCCACTTTATGTCTTTATATGTCACTGCTGAGCACAGGCCTCTCATTTCTGAGAGGTTCATCGAGCAATCAGTCCACCGCACTGATCTAATGCGTGTTGGAGGACAGCGTGAAATATTTCTTAGACATGCAGCTTTCCTCATTATAGTTTCCTATACCACCAAACATGTGGTAAATTAACACTAAATAACTAACAGTAGTAAAGCCACGCGCAGCCTTTGCTGTTGCACGTATGAGCCGACTCGAACCGGGGTGGTACCCCTCCCCACTTAACATGGTAGCGGAGTTAAATAAAACACTACCCCAGGAGGGTACCAGCACCCAGGTGACGGAGAATCCCTCGCTAAGCATCCACACCCATGCTACACTACTCTTCCTGAGCGCGGGTGCGCAGGCTGCCCCGCTTATTCTGGGGGAGGGGTCAAATTATGCTTGAGACTAAAGCTACTCGGGGCCGTAATATCCGTGAATTTCTGCAACATCAGGGGACTTCATTCAAACAATGCTGTCCACTACCATCTGGAAACTGGCCTTGTTCTTTCTAACCGAGAAACAGGTGTCCTCTCCGGCTGATACTTCTTATCTCTTCTACCCGGGGTATAAATTAGAACACTCCTTTGTGCCTGGAGTTTGCGTGTACGTCAGAGAGGACATCTGTTTTCGACGCCTCGGCAGCTTTGAAGGTCTGATAACCTGTCCATCTTATGGCTGCGAGTAGACAGCGACGACCATCCACGTCTACGGGTGCCTCTATAGGTCCCATAGCGGCAACAGAACAGCGGTCATAGACCGACTCATCAACCACGTTCAAATGGCTGCAGACTCCGTGCTACAACAGGTCCCACCAGCAGAGATCGTGATGCTTGGTGATTTATAACGCCCACCACGCTGAATGGCTTGGTTATCTTTTAACCGATCATGCGGGTAGATCTGTTTATGACTGCTTTGACATATGATCTGACATAACTGGTGAGCACATCGGCAGAATTGGCGAGAAACGTACGGTACGTCTTCCTTCGGCAACACGTGCATTCTGGTCTCACCAATTCTGTCCAAGGGAACTTCTGTCAGCCATCTCTCCCATCTATGCACATGGAGGACGACTCACTGGCCCATGCCCAAGGATAAAGCCGATCTGCTGGGCTCTCTCTTTGGGTCCAAATCGACTCTTGATGACGGGGGGAACACAACGCCCACCATCCGGTGGTGTGAGTGCTCCACGCAAGATGTGCTGTTTACCCATCGCTCGGTGAGCAGAGCACTCCTCTCCCTGGACCCCAAGAAGACCCCCTGGGCCTGATCGCATCCCTCTTATTGTGCTGAAGACGTGTGTTCCGGAGTTGGCACCGGTTTTAACGCGTCTTTTCCGGTACTCCTACTCCCTGGGCGTAGTCCCAAAATCATGAAAGACAGTTTCCGTGCACCCGATTCCTAAAAAAGGTAACTGCTCTGATCCGTCCAACTTTAGGCCTCTCGCCATCACCTCCTTGTTCTCTAAAATAATGGAGTCCATTATTGATAGCCAGCTCATGCGATACCTTGAGGATCACCAGCTGATTAGTCACCGCCAGTACGATTACCGTCGCGGTCGCTCGGCTGGTGATCTTCTGGTCTACCTAATTCATAGATGGGCTGAGGCAGTAGAGTCCAATAGGGAGGCATTGGCCGTTAGTTTGGACATTGCGAAGGCCTTTGGTCGGGTTTGGCACAAAGCGCTTGTTTCGAAGCTCCCTTTCTATAGGCTTCCCAAGAAATTGTGTAATTGGATCACCAGCTTTCTTGCAGATTGGAGCATTAAGGTCGTTGTAGCCGGTGCAAGCTCCGATTACAAGCCTATTAATGCTGATGTTTCACAACGCTGCATACTATTGCCAACGCTGTTTCTTCTGCATATCAATGATATGTTGCAAGCCCGTAACATTAATTGCTATACAGATGACAGCACTGGTGATGCTCTGTACACCGGCCGTGCCAATATTTCTCGGGAAAACGTCTCAGAGTACCGCGACAAATCTGTGTCTGAAGTCGAGTCTTTGCTGAACAGTCTCGGATTGGGGGCGACTAAATCTAATCCAGTTCAATCCCAAAAAGACACAAGCTTGTGCGTTTACCACTAAAAAGAACCACTTCGTCGTATCTCCTTATTTTCAAGGCACTCCCTTTGTTGCTTCAGCCAATATCGGAATGAGCCATCTCTGGGCTGAGGCTCCCCAGTGCCAGCTCCTTCCATTTGATCGCATCTAGCTCAGAACTATTCGAATCGTCGGCGACCGAGTTCTTTCCGATCGGCTTGACTCACTGGTACTGCGAAGAGATTTTGCATATATTTGCTTATATTATCGGATTTACCACAGGGAGTGCTTTGTGGAAATGTTCGTACTAATTCCAGCCGCAGAATTTCACCATCGGACATCGTGACAAAACTCGCGATATCATCTATACCATCTGGATGACTGGCGGTCCACCACTGTGCAATTTAAAAAGTTTTCTTCCTTGTGGAATGGACTACCACCAGAGATTTTTCCGGACCGATACAACTAAGGAACCTTCAAGAAAAGAACCTACTCCTTTTTAAATGGCCGGCAACGCATCTGCAAACTGTTGTTACTAATGGAAGCAGTTCTTCCAGATCGGTAGTATCTATGAATGTTCCTCAGGGCTTAAATCTCGGCCCCTTTCTGTTCTTAGTTTATATAAATGACTTACCTTACTTGGTAGGGAATAACTTCGTTTATTTTCCGACTTAAAAGGCAATTATTGAAATAATATGCCGAAGTGAATAATGCTCGATCAAAAGTAGTAGTACAATGGTTTGACGTCAATAATTAACTTTTGGACAGTAATAAAACAAAATATATTAAATTCACCACACCTAATGTTAAACAGGTGCTTTTAAATGGGGAGGAGCTGGGCCCTGTTGAATTCACTGTTTTTCTCGGAATTAAAGTTGATGCGAAGCTTCAATGGGTGGGGCCCAAATATTATATCTAAACTAGTTAGCAAACTTAGTTCTGCAGCATATGCTGTAAAAAAGATTAGAGGCCTTACATGTGTTGAAACAGCTAGATTAGATTTATTTCTTTCCATAGCATAATGTGTATAACTTAACAAGCAAACTTTGAGTAAATAAAATAAAACCTTTTGACCTTCTTACTATTTTAAATTTGTGTATGAAATGTTCGATATTCATTTTAGATTAAGGATCGTCGAGGTGTCGTGTCACAAGGTATTACCAGGTCCAGACCCAGAACTGACACTGGACCAGGTGACCATATCTCCACCAAGACTGTACAGAATAGAGGAGATACCCAAGGACGAATTGCATTTGCAGGTATTTGTTTATTTTTAATTAAATATCATTTGCTTAAAATGCTAAATCACCATTGAACATTTAGCATTTTTTGAACATTTTGGTTGCAATTTTAGTAGCAAAACTAGTAGGTATTTATTAAGGCAATGCTAAAAATGCTAAAACTGATCCACATATTACTGTATTGTTTCTTTGATTTAAAAAAAGCCAAGGTGTGTCCGTGGCTCAGATTTGAACCCTGTAGCTAAATTTGTTACGAATTCAAGTCCAATTAATGGTCGTGCCAGTAGCACTCAAGGAACGAGAGTGATTGATTTATATTGCATACAAATGATTAACATAATTTTTATGAACACATGATTATAAAAAAACAAATGATTAAATTTTTTTAACAGAGGTGGAGCTTCAATGGCTTTGCATTGAAGCGCCACCTCTTCAATGCCTGTGTAGCTTTATAAAAGTAGCATGAACGGTAAAATTGTTTAATTACTTGAAATTATTTGTTTATTGTGGCAGAGTAAGTAAGACAAATCACGCCATTTCGAAGCATCTCGAAGGAATGCATGAAGGATATAATGGCCTCCAATAAATGGCGGTATACTCTTCTGGCCATCTGACAAAAGATATCCACATACACTATGGGGAGTATATCATAAGTATAATACATCTCGAACATTTGTTCAATTCGCTCGTCATGAGTGGTGAATTATGCAAAACCTCCCAAGGTTCGCATCCAGAAGCGGGCTCTTATTAGATGATGAAGAAGTGAAATAATATCCTATTCTGTACAAACAACATTAAGTTAATCTTATCAGGTGATGCGGTCTTATAATAGTTAATTAATATTTGTATTAATTGTCTCTATACTTCTCTCTTTTTGTTGTCATGAAAGAGAGAGAGAGAGTACAACTTTAAAAATGTTGATTTTATAAGAAAGGCCGAAGTCTGTAAGTTGTCTAAATGTCCTAAACTGATGTAAAATATACTATTTTGTGCAGATTGGCAGCAATGTAAGGCAACTGGAGATTGCATAACATTTATATTAATAGAAAATTATATTGGAGTAGGGTATATGTATTGATAATGTTGAAACAATTTCATCACAAATGGAAGAAAATGTACAATTATAATGCACTTCATACATATTGAATTTTGACAATTTCGTAGACAGAATACCTAAGTTGTACTCATATGTTCAGGATGACGAGGTGCTGGTACCGTGCGCGCACTTCCACAAGCAGGTGTACGCGACCTTCGGCATCCCGTTCTATACGCGCGTCAAGCACCTCGAGCCCTTCCAGGCCGTTAAGGACCGCCTGCAGAAGAAACTCGACATACCTGACAAGGAGTGGGAAAAGGTATTCGAAATATTTTGACAATACTTATATTACTCATCACAGAATCTCAAGTTTAAACTCATATTCCACAATTTCAAAATTTGAATCTAGACCATAATATGTTACTAGTCACTCTCAGAAAAAGATTTAATCACTTAGGCTTTGTCAAGTGTTATCTTTGCCATACTCATATTATGAGGTTTTCATTTTCTTTTTCTTATAATAATTAGAACCCAACCAGAAGAAAAAAAAAAAACAACAACACCAAACCCCAAAAAAAAAAAGGATTGTTTGGGCGTAAAAAATAAAAAACTAATTAAAAAAAAAATAAAAACAAAAAAAAAAAAAAAAGCCTCAAATGGGAAACCCACCCCCCCCCGCAAACAACAAAAAAACCAACCTTTATTACTACCGTTGTCAGTTCACATCAAAGTATAATAAAATTTTATTTATTGACTTCCAAGTATCCACTTTGAACTATAAAATTTAGAGTTGGACCTATTAGTACTTTGGCCGCTTGGCCGATTAGCCGATTAATAGGTTAAGAAATGGGCTGATTAATCCATTTTTGGCCATTTCTCATTAACAATCTTTATTCAAGAATTAAGTGTTTTATTTTTGTTATGCAAAGAGAGAGACTTAATTTTTTTTTAAAGTTTAATAAGAATGACATTATTAATATTTTATTTTGTTCTGTTACTACTCTGCATTACGATTAGACAAAGTTAAAAAGTAGAATTAAAATAGTAAGTACTCAAGTTTTTGTTTAGTTTTAAATAGCTACCTCAATTTCTTTTTTTTTACCAAAGTTCCTATGTTCAGGATAATTAACATTAAAACATGTGAGACCGATTTTTCGATAAAAGTTATGTATGAACCTACTTATTTTATTATTTATTTGATTTACCTTCATATAAATCTGTCGTGATTTTACGCATGGGAGAGAAACTATTATTTTCTTAAATTTAAAGCTTTACTCATATCAATGTAGCCGCACTTACCACGCAGAAAATCACGAAAAACTTTTGCTAAAATTAATAAAATAAAAAGTGACTACAAATAGGCCGATTAATCGGCTTCACCGATTAGTCGGCGGCTAATCGGCTAAAATTGTGTAATATATAGATCATTTTTATTCAATTACATATAATAATTTATTTATAGACTAAGACAACAATATAAAACTCAGTTATCTCCTAAAAAATTCTCATACAAAAAATCAGTATGTAATATTTCACATTCTCGGAATACCAGCGTAAAATACGCATTCCATGCTGCTGTGTTTCATATGGTGACTGTAGAGAACTGGAGACCCATTTTTATGGAAATGAGACATTGCATCTTAGTCCTCGCGGGTGACAACACATCTGCCATTTTGATTCGTAATCTAGGATAGATGTAAATGGAAATAAAAGAAAATGGAAAAGAAAAAAAGAAAAAAAAAATCTATGGGCCACAGCAACTACTTACCATCAGGAGGACTAAGTGCTCGTTTGTCACCCTTATCCTATTAGAAAAAAATTACACTGTGTTGCTCACTGCAATTGTTGTTTCATCCTACGGTAATTTTTTCATTGCAACAAATGTTATTTTAAATTTAATCTACCTATATTTGAAACAAGCTGTGCAAGCATATATCTGGAGTTTAGATTCCTGAACTATTTGAAATTTTAATATTCATCATCATCATCAACATTAACCTTCAATCCACTAACATAGGCCCCCAAGTAATGCCATAAAGCACGGTCTTGAGCCACCTGCATCCATCGACTTCCTGCATGTCTTACCAGGTCTAGTGGGGGGTCGCCCAACACTACGCCTACCGGTACGAGGCTGCCACTCGAGAACCTTTTTTCCCCATCGGCTATCGGTTCTTCGAGCTATATAGCCGGCCCATTGCCACTTCAGCTTACTAATCCGTTGGGCTATGTCGGTCACTCTGGTTTTACTGCGGATATCCTCATATCTGAGACTATCACGCAGAGAAACTCCGAGCATAGCCCTCTCCATAGCTCGCTGAGCGACCTTGAGCGTCCTCATACGGCCAGTAGTGAAGGACCACGTCTCAGATCCGTAAGTCGTTACTGGCAACACGCACTGGTTGTACACTTTAGTTTTCAGAGGTTGAGGTATACCTGACGAGAAGATGTGTCGTAATTTCCCGAACGCTACCCAGCTGAATTGAATCCGTCGATTGACCTCTCGGTCGAAGTTGGACTTACCTATTCGGACTATTTGTCCCAGTTAAACGTACTCGTCAACAACTTCGAGCTTAGTGCTCCCAACAACTACCGGCATAGTTGTGACATGGACATTAAACATGATCTTTATTTTGGTCCATGTTCATCTTAATACCTATCCATTGGGAGACACCATTGAGGTCATTGAGCATAGTGCTAAGGTCCTCCAGCGATTCTGCCATAAGGACTATATCGTCGGCAAATCGAAGGTGAGTGATGTACTCGCCATTGATGTTAATACCGTATCCTTTCCAGTCCAGTAGCTTGAAAACTTCTTCCAACGCAGCGGTGAAGAGTTTCTGGGATATAACGTCACCCTGTCTTACACCTCTCTGCAGTTGGATAGGTTTCGAACTCTGGTTCTGTACTCGGATAGCCATCGTAGCCCTACTGTACAAACACTTCAGCACTTCGATATACCGACAGTCAACTTGGCACCGCTGAAGGGACTGTAGCACCGCCCAAATTTTGACGGAATCAAAGGCTTTCATAGTCCACATACGCCAGGCAAAGTGGCAGATTGTACTCTTCGGTCTTCTGTACACTCTGCCGTAGGGTATGTATGTGGTCTATGGTACTGAAGCCTTTTCGGAAACCGGCTTGTTCGGGAGGCTGGAAGACGTCGAGTCTGCGTGCGAGACGATTCGTAATGACTCTCGAAAACAGCACGTAGACGCGGCTCAGAAGGGAAATCGGTCTGTAGTTCTTCAAGAGAGCGTTGTCGCCTTTCTTAAAGAACAAACCACCGCACTTCTACTCCACGCCTCCGGAGTAATGCCACCACGGAGGACGGAATTGAAGAGCTTCTGAAGGACTTCAAGTACCGGTGTTCCACCCGCTTTCAGAAGCTCCGCTGTAATTCCATCCTCGCCTGGGCCTGCCGTTTTTAAGGTGCTGGAGAGCCATTTAATATTAAACAAAATCTATTTGGTCATGAAATACTTCCTATTTTAAATTATTTAAAACAATCTTTTTAAATTATCTTCTTCGTCTTATTATTAAGATTTCTGTGATTATAACACACAATAACTTTATTTATAATATTGAAATTCTTATTTTCAGTACAATTTTGCTATAGTGACAAATGGCAGACCTATTTACATAAGCGAAGGAGTGACTATTAATATATTCGACTTCAGGCCAAGCGGTAACGCAAGTAAGTTGTAATTTATATACCATACCCAAAATCCGCTAAATTCGTTTATATTACATTAGTGTGCATTTGTAACGGTTTCAGTCCTCCGTAGAATGCATACTAAAATGAAATAAAGATCTGTCCCTTCCAGACGCGACGGGAAGGCCGTGGCTGGGGCTCGAGCACATCAACAAGACACCGAAGCGCTCCCGTATCAATTACTTAGAAAAAGCCATCAAGATATATAACTGAGCCATAATATTCGCGCCCTGGCTTGCTTGATGAGAACACCGCTGGTTTTACCCAGGGGCGAAACACTAACCACACGTATCCCGCGGGAGTAATGTATTCTTTCGAATCATGGAACAGTTTTGATAATTAATATAAAGTTCAAGCAATACTACGTTACTGCCGTGCGAAATAGCATTTTAATAAATAGCCTTATCCACACGTCGTTGTACACCGCTGACAGCAAGTTGACTTCCTTCGCCCCCGCTCTCCATTGTCTATAGATTTCATTCATTATAGTGTGTGTGTATCACTGTAACCGCAATAGTATGGAGTGTAGAAGTAAGGAGTACAGATTGTGTATTAAAAAGTGTCCCATAGAAACCTTTAAATAAGGGTGGCGCCACTATAGCTACGGGCTAAATTTTAAAGAATGCATCGAAAAATTTAGCAATATACCAGCACACTTAAACCGGCGACAACTGCTAAGTTCATTTCATCCCAGTAGCTACTCCAGCGCTGTAGTGAAGAGTTTTTGAGCTGTTATTACTGCTTACAAATTACCACTTTTTCATCTATTCTACTATGGGAGTTGGTACTCCTTACTTCTACACTCCATACGCTATAGTTTTGCAAGCAAACATGTTTGCCGGCATTGTTAATATCTAGTTTTATTATTTATTTCTCCTTTGTATTTTTAAGGCTGGTGTATATTGAGTCAGCTAACCGGCGCCAGTTCGAACGTCAAGCGATACGTTAAAAGGTGATGATCGTCAAAACAACTGACTAGTATCCACTTGTTTACACAATGTCTAGATATGTGGTATAAGGGCGCGGGCACTGATTTCGAAAATATATCGCTCCATTACGAGTTAGCATAGGCTGATAATGCCTTGACAAATCCTGTTATTACCATAGAATACTATAATACACAGTAGAATGGCTGTCAAACTTATTTTGTACGAGGGTTGGCGTCGCCGGGAGCACACACACAAGCAATTACGTCGTATTATAACTATTGCAGACCCGATTCGCTGTTTTGACAGACTGAGTAAATTTACACATTTTAGAATTTTAATTAATGTTCAAGATCATCACTAAAAATATTGTTTAAATATTAGTATATATTTATATGTAAACAGTGTGCAATTTGGTATTTTCTAAATAATTTGCATACGAAATTTGGAAACGATTGTAACGTCTAAACACATCTCGTGTTGACATTTATACATGTGAATTGACATGTTAGTGACATTTTAGTGGCTACACGGGCTCCGCCCACTCCCCCGTTCTATTATGTATATATTATAGTATTCTATGGTTATTACTGACTGACGCCTAGTAATCACTCAATGTAAATTCGCCTTTAGTTTGGGAAGGGTCTCGTTTTCCAACAATGTGGTATAATTTTTATTCTTTTTTAGCGTTTCCAATCATAATATTGCATTGTGGCTTCATAATTGTTTTAAAGAAACCTATATGAATCTGCTAACAAAATGTCAAGTTTGTGTTTTATTGTATTATAACCGGTTTGTTAGGCGCGAAGAAGTAGAATGCGACGCTGCACAATTGTGCGAATCGTTTAAAATACGGAATTCCTCGTTTGTATCAACTGGTTGTTTAAGTTTTTGGTGATTCGGCAAAATTAAGCTTTAACAAATTGAAATAAAATGTATTTTTTATTGATAGTGACAAAATAAAATAGAAAGTTTTACATGTGCCAAAAATTGTCTAAAAAATGCGAAAACCTTGTTTGTATGTAATCAAGGTTTTCGCATTTTTAGACAATTTTTTCGTATATATACATAGAGTAATTTGTAGCGGAAACTCGCATCTTTTCATATGCCAATTGATTTTCTTTTCTTATGATTGAAATATAGGAGGCTATTCATTGTGCTCATCAATAATTTCTCGATATGATGATGCGATATTACGTTACACTATTATTTCTTTTTTATTGGCAATAGAAACGAGTTATAATAGATTTTAAATTTATATACTAGACTACAGTTCGCGATAGGCTTTGGTAAAATGTCAATAAATCAGTATATTTCTTATTGTACACAAATGCATATTAAATATTTGTATTATATATATAAAGCACGTACAAAATCACTATACTTATACAGTATAACTTTGCGACTTATTACAAAAAGTAGTTTATGATTAGTTTCAGGTTTAAATATCAATCTCTTTCATAAAATAAGTACTGCGGAAAATGTGCGAACTAAAATGTAAAAAAAGGAATTGGACAGCAAATGTCCAGATTAAGCGACTTCTTTCGTGAGAAAGACTTCTTAACCATATTTTAATCCTAAGACTTAACAAACCACGTTTTGTAATAAGACGTTATCTGTTTGTGCTTACTAGGTAAAAATTAGTATCTACATACAGAGTAAAACCAAAATCCGCATTGAAATACAGCACATGGACGTTAAGATTACTCAAAGAAACAATCTGCTATAATCAGGTAGATTCGACTTTGTAGGATTCATTCTAGTATTACTAAAGCTTACATGACTAGTATATATATTCTGTAAGCTTTTGGTACCAATTTTTTCTTTTATTGTTTGACAATTTCTATATAATTCATCTACTACTGTAAAACAAGTGTGAATTATCGTTACTTCGATTTGCTACTTTATTTGTTAGATATGTGATAGTAATTTTTAACAATGCTTGTATATAGCTAAAGCTTGAAATTGCTATAAAAATACTTGCATTCGCATGCAAATCCTTAAGCAAACAAATCAAATGTTTCCATATTCGAAAATTTCTCTAAAATCATTATGTTGTGTAGTACAGTAATGTTTTATTTTTGTCGAATTACCAAATGTATAGATGTGTTGGAGGAAATGAATGAAATTGGTGAATTGGCTATCCTTCGTCGAGAGTAGTTTTATTGCATATAGTAGGTGTACCAATTAGCACTGTATTGTTAGATCTGGCTTAAAGCCCTGTCAACAACTAAACATGTATATTTTACTATTTAATTTTTTACTTGACCTGCCCAGAAATGTTACGTTATTAATAAAAATGATTATGTCGAAATTATGTATATATATGATGTAATAAATTAAGAAAACAAAATACAATAAGTTTTTCGTAAAGATGCCTTAGACATTTCAATATGTTTTAGTATTCAAAACGATACAAATTACTTTATCACCTACCCTTATAATTTCTTTTTCCATACTCTACATAAATGGCCAATTGCATAATGTGAGATATACTGCCTCTTTGTTTTACTGACTTCATTTTATTTTTTCATTAAATCAGTTTTAATTTTAATGTAACAATGTTTGTCGATTACTGTTTTAATTAACATGGTTTGAGGTATTTTGAGAGGAAGTTAGTTAAATAGTGGCTTAAATTAATCGCCAGACTCTAATATAAAATGGGATTATAGTCTATTCTATTAATTCAGTTACCTACTGAAATGTCTGTAGTAGGCCTCGTGAAGTCGAGTGTAGCGCAGCTTGTTCAAACATTTGGAACCTGTTTCCAATGTTTGCTATGTTGGATTTGAATGTTTCACTGAATATAATCCTATATTTGTTCACTTTGGTTTGTTTTAAACGGCTTATGCATCCTCGTACATTTATATATTTATTTTAGACCTTACTTCAAATTTTAATTTTTTTAAAATTAGCTGGTTCGAAGTTGGATGTTCTGTATTCAATTGGGGAGTTCCAAACTTAAATTAATGTTACATAAAATCAGTGACTACTCCCCCCGCCGTTTGTTTTTTTTGTTTGAAATCGCTGCCTACGACCGTGTTTTTTAAAAAATATTTTTCGAATTATGAGCCGTCGTGACAGCAATGCTGCGTAGACAAACAAGCAATGTCACCGACGTATATAGACCTAGTATTGCAAGAATTATACGTTTATGATTTAACCGCTTCCGTTTTGGAAATTTCAATCTCAACAAACACCTTGGAAACTAGAGACTGTAAGGGTAACTTTGAAAGTTATCCTTCCATCCATCCATCACAGCTTATTAAAGTCCACTGCTGAACATAGGCCTCCCCCATAGATTGCCTCATAGGGGAGATTTTGCCATAGTTAACTTAGTTAGTGAGCGGATTGCCAACCGCAGTATTTTTTTGAGTTGTAATCCGGAAGATGCTGCTGCCTTTCATGTTTTATAGGAGAGGGGGCAAACGAGCATACGGCTCACCCGATGGTGATTACCGTCGTCCTTGAACAACTGCAACACTAGGGGAGTTGCAGTAGCGTTGCCAGCTTTTTAAAAAGGAATAGGCTCTTTTCTTGAAGGTCCCTAAGTCGTATCGGTCCGGAAAAATCTCTGGTGGTAGTCGATTCCACAAGGAAGTTTTGCGAGGAAGAAAACTTCTTTTACAGTGGTGGACCGCCAGTCATCCAGATGGTATAGGTGGTATCGCGATTTTGTTGCGATGTTGAAATTGTGCGGCTGGAATTAGTCCGAACGATTCCTCAGAGAACTCCCCATGATAAATGCGATAAAATACGCAGAGAGATGAAACATCCGCAGCCGAAAGAGCTCGCGATTCGCACAGCTCTGCGCTGGATGCGATCAAATGGAAGGAGCTGACACTGGGGAGCCCCAGCCCAGAGATGGGAACAGTATGCCATGTGCGGCCGAACCTTCGCCTTGTAAAGTTGCAGTCGATGTGCCGACATGAAATACTGTCCCGTTCTGCTGAGCACGCCAAGCTTTTTAGAGGCCAATTTGGCCTTCTCTTCCAAGTGACCACGAAACTGCACGTCACTCGATATGTCGACCCCGAGGATTCCGATACTGGCTAAGGCAACAAGGGGATTGCCTTGAAACTGAGGAGATACGACGAAGGGGTTCTTTTAAGTGGTAAACTTGTGTCTTTGGATTGAACTGGATTAGATTTAGTCGCCCCTAGTCCGAGACTGTTCAACAAAGTCTCGACTTCAGGCACAAGTTTGTCCCGATACTCGACGACATTTTACTGAGAAATATTGGAACAGCCGGTGTATAAAGCATAACCAGTGCTGTCGTCCTCATAT